TTCTGGATTGGGATTTGGACATTGTAGACTTGACACTGCGTTTGCGGAACCAAGCTTCACCCACACCACAGTTATATATGAACTGTAGGTAGAGAGTTAGCACAATTATAGTAATGGAATTTTTCCCTGTATTTAAGATGGCCCTCTCCCCTGAAGATCTGAAGAAACACCCCCCTTCCCCCCGGTATCTGCTACCATATTCTGATCAAATCTAAAACAACCCTCCAATTTTAAAAGTAAATTATTAGGGATAATATTCCTTTCAGGCAAATAAAGAGTCTTATTAAAAACCTGGTTCTGTACAGTCAAATAATTTTTCATAGCTATTAACATCAAAAATTCAATATTTAATACAGTATAACAAATTGCAGAATAGAACTGTAAATAGCGGTGTCTGTGGTGGGGGACCAGAAAGATGAACGCATAGCTTCAGTGTTACAATGCAAGCCCTGCCCCTTTTGAGTATGTGTCATGACATTGCATGCACATCATGACACGTATACATATGTTTTTATCATTCTGACAGATGTAGCAAGGTCCTGTGGACATGCATGAACATTAAACAAAATTGGGATGGGAAGGTCAAATAGTAGAAAAGCCAAAGATGTGACAAAATCTCAAGATGCTAGCTTGTTTAAATCAGTTTAGATGCCCTCTAGCTATATGGACTTCAACTCCCAGAATTCCCAGACATCATCGCCATTTGCTGAGGGTATTGACATTGGTCCACATATCAGCATTTTTTAAATGTAAACCATCAAAAGTTGTTTTGATTGTGGCAACATAAAAATATGTTTAATAAAGAAAAATAACGTAAGTGGGTCTCCTATGTTAGAGAGATTCAAAATTATCCTGGACTGCAGGCACTGCAGTAGGAAAGATTTTTTGGTGTGTGTGTTTGTAAAATATTCTTCACAAGGTAACAGAAACCATAGAATAATATGCAGAGTTCCTAAAGTCAATAGGAGGACAGAATCTTGCAGAAATCTAGGTCCAAATCATTAAAAGTATTAACAATAATGCATTTTGAGTTCTGCAAGGAAATAACCAAGCAAACCATGATAGTTGATAAAACAGCAGTTGCTTACTGCAAAAAGATCTGTACTGGTCAAAATAGGCAACACCTAATATAGGTTGGCCATATATATAAGCTCTTATTAGCTCATTTCTAAGAAATATACTTGGTTGTCTATGGACATTGCATCTCTTTAGTTTATGATGAAGATTGGGAAATAAGTTCTGAAAGATTTTTTCTTCCATTTTTAATGGCAAAGTTATCATTTTTAATACAAGTTGTAGGAGTATTTGAAAATTGAGAAAAAAAATTATTCTCTGAATATGATACCATTAAATTGCATCTTTTGATGTATTGTCTTATTATGGAAAAACACTTGACTTCTAACACAACATTAGGAAGCAGCAATGAAAATAGTAGTTTGTTTTAAAATCTGATGCTGCTTCTATGTTTATCTTTACGTCTGTAAAAAGACAAACATTGTTCCCAAGGTTTAGATAATTAATGTGGATGTGAATAAAGTATCCAAATATATCCAGCCTTGTTGCCTACCGACTGAGTGGTGAGCATTTTATTCTTCCTTCTGGATTTGGGTACTATTGAGAGCACTATGGAGCATATTTATTAAGTTGTTTTTCTTTGCTAGATTCGTTTGAGAGCCAACTAAGATGCAGTCAGGAAAGCTGCAAGTGCAGCACAGCCTCAGAGAGATTCTAATACAGGGCTTCACATTTAGATCAGGAATGCCTTTGGAATGGAGGAGAACCATTAACACTATCATTTTTTAAAAATAAAATGATTGTAATATGCTCTATGCTATTTCCTATTCAGAGAGAACATAACTACTACTGTCTTTTTTATTGGTTGACTTGGGTATGGCAGGAACAAGTGTTTCTACTCAAATGTGCTAGACCCTGTAGTTTGAAAGCTATTGTTAGTTTGGAAAAAAAAAACATAGTGGCATCATGGCGTCATAATGTTTTCATATATTTTATTACTGCTGGGATACTACTAACCATGACAATGATAGCTTCTCTTATCTCAAGAAAGTTTAACTATATGAAAATATACATTTTCAGTAACAATTGTTTTGAATAAGGGGGGGTTGCAAATGGGAGACAGTGTATCTTAATGTTTCTTATCCTAATAGAGCTCAACAAAATCAGTTACATGATCACACTAGTGATACCTAGTCAAGGATGACCTGCTGGCATTCTAAAGCATAAAGCTCATTTCACTGTTTTTGTTGCAGTTGTACATTTCTTTGTCAGTTATTCTTTGGGTGTTACACTAGCTAAAACTAAGCATTCAACATTATTTTTATAATGTACTCATTTTTTTTCCTTTTGTAGATTTCAGGCAGTCACTTGTATAGCCAAAAATAAATGTCTTTTATTTTAGGAGAGGATCAATGTTAAGTACTGCTATTTTTGTTTATGCTGCAACATCACCAGTGAATGGCTACTTTGGAGGAAGCCTCTATGCCAGACAAGGAGGTAAAGCATTTCTTGATTATTGTTCATATCGCAGTCTAATATAACGTAAGACCTGGTGTAGCTATTTGAAGAGCTTTCTCGGACTATCTACATATGTGTTCATGCACAAACAACATTTCTGCTGATGAGGCGAGCAGCTGACCATCTACATGCATGCAGAGAGAACCTGGAAAGGCCCTTGAAGAAGCCATTCAGAGCATGCATTGAGGAGTGGAATACTTCTCTCACACCTATACCCAGTGCTGAAAATATTACCCATTAATAGTTTCAGAAGAAGGTAAACATGCCTGAAAGTAATTGTAGTATGTTCTAAGAAGATGAGTCATTGTACTCTGTGGCTTTTAACATGTATTGGTGAGAAACTGATAGTAATTGATAGGGTCAAAAGTCCTATTGGAAAGAACTGTTTCTTTGGGGACATAACGAGAATGTGTAGTCTGCTGCTTGGACCTAATGTAGGTTTTGTCTATTAATTGAGAGTGTGTTTGCCACATGCAGTTCACTCTTATTTCTTCCCCTTCCCCTTGGCCTGTTTTTCCTTTTCCAATGTAACTGTTTTGGGATTGTATTGCTCCTCTGTGCTGGATCTAGAAAGGGCAATTCTTTTTACTAGCTAAAGAAAAATACTTCCTGCCTCCCTCTAGACATATTGTAACAAGACCATTTTTTGCAACTGCTGAAGGCTGGAATAGACTTTTATGGACAGGAAAAGTATACCCTCAGTCTGAATCTTTGGAAAGGGTAGCAAGCTTTCCTAAATGTGTGCAGCTTAGATAGAATTATCGGGTGGGTTGGAGATAGTCTAAGCCAGTTACTCTGGTCGGTGCAACTGGACAAAAGGTCCAGATTTTAAATAATTCATGAGAATCAGAATCCATCATCTTTCAAGGCAGTCAGTTTCATTGTCAAACATCTGTTACTGTTAAGTTTTTCATATAGCTTCCAACATTTGGAGCAACAGAGAATGGCTCTGTTCATCAGATATTTGGAAATCATTGTCATGTTTTTTCTTTAATCCTCCCCCAGGTTAAACATTCCCTTTCAACTGATGTTGGTAAGACATTTTCTCCAGGATGTTGTAGACAGACCCTAATTTGTTAATAGCTTTCTTAAGATGGGCCACCTACAACTAGACGTAAGCACTCTGGTTTCAATTTGACAACATAAAATAGAATGAAATTATTACTTATTGTAGTATGGGACTGCCCCTTTTTTAAAAAAAAATTATTAAAGAAGTTTTTTGCAAAGTAAAAATACATATTTAAAGAAAAAAAAGTAAAGTAAAAGAAAAGTGATAAGTAAATAGGAAAGAAATGAAAGAAAAAAGAGAAAAAAATATAAAGGACTGGCTTCTCATCTTCTTTACAGCAGTTATAAATGCATTTCTATTTTATCCTGTCTCTCTTAAGGTTACATCATGGCTCCCTCTTTCCATATTCTACCCTTCCTAATCATCAAACTATAAACCACAAGTTCATTTTTTCCCATTTTCAGCAGAAAGTCCATAAAGGGTTTTCAGACCCTAACAATTGTAAATATTGTCTTTTCTCTAATCAAACAAGTAAATTTTGCCATCTCTGCAAATTCTGTCATCTTTACAGATGATTCCTCCACTGTGGGTATTTTAAAGTCTTTCCATCTTTTGTGCATATAATAATCTCGCTGCAGTTACCATGTACAAAAACAATCATCCATATGTCTTTTCTAGTTGTCTGTCCATTAGTCCCAGCAAGAAAAGTTCTGGTTTCAGTTGAATATTAATCTTTAAAATTCTTTGTATCATTGTGTATATTTCAACCCAAATTTTTCTAGCTTTTTTAGAAGTCCATCAAGCATGATAAATCACCCTTCATGTTTTCCACATTTCCAACATAGATTTGAAATACTTTTATATATTCTAGAAAGTTTTTCTGCTGTCATATACCAATGGTACATCATTTTGTAAAAATTCTCTTTTAAATTATAACAAAATGTGAATTTCAGTCCTTTCAGCCACATAATTTCCCTGAATTAAACAATGTCATCTCTCAGTGCCTGCCCTCTGGAATGAGGTTCTTCTCGAGGTCTGGATGGCCCCCACTCTGCTGCTGTGTAGAAGAGCCTTTACCCAGGCCTTTGGTGAGGGAGAGTGAGACCCCTTGCTTCATCACACTTGCAATCTTTCATCTTTATTGAGTTTATTGAATTGTTTTGATTGTTGTGAGCCATCCAGAGTCATTGAGAGTAGGGCAGTATACAAGTTTAATACATTATTAAATTATTATTATTATTAATGCCTCTTATCAGTGCTGACCAAGGCTGCACATACCTTTTTAGCAGCTGCATTGCATCACTAGTTCATAGTTATCCTGTACTTCATAAAGACATAGATATATGGACAGATGACAAGGCAAGTCTCTCCCATCTCATTCTTATACCTTTGAATATTGTACCTATGTGCAAGTTTATGCATTTAACTCTATTGATTTACATCATATAGATTTAAATTACCATTTCAGTCTGTCAAAATCATATTTTTTTGTCTTTGTGGTATCAAACCTAGGTTTTTGTGGTTTTTGTCTTTGTGGTATCAAACCTAGGTTTTTGTTGCCTGCAAGTTTGACCTGCAACCTATCTATACCTTTGTCCTTGTCATGTATAAATGTGCTGAACAATATAGGACTAAAGAAAGAGTCCTTTTAAGATCTTTTTCTAGGCTGGCAGAGTGGAATTATTCTGCATTCACTGAATGTTGTGGTTAAACCAACTATAAATCTATGTAACAAAAGTATGCCCCAAAAACTAGTATTTATCTATAATATTTTGGTAGTTTTTCTTCTTTTTTTTCCTATTAGTATTTTTATATAACAAATAGTGGAGATTTTAGCACTCAGCTCAGAGATTCACATCCTTTTTCACATTGTTAAAATAGTTTAATGTATTTCATTTTTAAGATCATTTTCTCACCAATGATATATTGAGCACTAACTGTACAATCTCAGTAAATCCTTTGTCCACTTACTGATATCATATTTCTGTATCAACTATTTTTTCTTTTTTCCTTTTGTTTGCTCATTTGCTCTTTTTTCCTTCTTTTAAAAATGATTAATAAATTTTAAAAACATTAAAAAAGAAAAAAATAGTATTCCTGTGTACATTTTGAGAAATTTTCATAGCTGTTTGGTTTAATATTAGTTAATCGTGATAAAACCCAAGCTGACTCCTAATAATGTCAGATGCCTCGCAATCAATTAACCATTTTGCTAATTAGCTTGCTTTGTTTCTGCCATTATAAGAAGGGGGGGGGGAAGCTAGAAGGATAACCGTTAAGCGCAGATGGACTGTTATCTATTTCTCAGGAATGCCCAAGGTCGTACCAGTGTGAAACCAGAAGAGACCCAGTGAAAGGCGCAAGAAGGACTATGGGATGGAAGTGGGGTGGTGAAGGAAAAAAGGGATAAAAATAGAGTTCGGCACGTGCGGGCTTTTAGTTTCAGCAATGCCTCTAGAACTGTGTAGTACTTCTCAATAAAAGAACTTTACTTTGAACCTACATCAGTTTCAAGGGGAGTTGCTTTCGCTGGGAGCTGAGTGCTGCAGCTTCTTCCAAATAATTTGTAGGAAATGGTTAATTTGCTTTGTTCAAAATATTTAATCAGATGGGTGGCCTTCGGTTGGAGATGCTGTAGGAGTTAACTTCTGCACTTGGCATGAAGGCTGGACTAGATGATCTCAATGTCCCTTCCATTTCCTAGATTCTGTGATTCTATGAATACATTCTTTTTTAAATGCTCACAAATTATATTGGCCAGATTTAGTTATAACGCTGGCTAGTCTGTAATTCCATGAGCTACCTTCTCCCCCTTTTCGTTCACTTGCTCTGAAATTTCATTCTAGTGAGCTAGCAAATAACCTGGGAGATGTGAAATAAAACTGTAAAACATTTCCCAACTGTCTCCTTGTCTCTGCTAGGATGCAAATCCTACTGAAATTATTTGTTCTTTTCCCAGATCAAACACCTTTGCTTTTCTAGGGAAATACAAATGTGTGGGTAAGGACAGTTCTCAGATCATCAGAAACTTCTCTATGTATGCTTTGGCTTCTATGAATGTCTCCATTTTTCTTTTTCAGTATTTTTGTTTAACAACTTATTTAGAGTTTGTTTGGTATCTAAGTGAAGAAAAATGTGCAATAAAAGTGCTTATATTTTTCATATGGAAGAGTGTTGTAAAAGGAAGCTGGCCTGCCAAATCACAAATACTTTTCTGTGCATTAGGTTCAGATAATCCCATAGAACAGCATCCCCAACTTGGCAGTCTCTAGCTGTGTGGACTGAATAAGTCCTTGCTGGTAGCTGAAAAATCTGGGAACTGTAGGCTAACATATGTACAAAGCATAGCTTGGAGAAGGTTGCTGTAGAACCATGCTGCAGCTACACAGTTTTTATAAATATTATTGGTATAATTATTTAAAATTGAGGAAAGAAATTGGCTCAGTATGATTAATATAACTACTTTTTATGGACGCAGTACATTGCTGGCATTCTTGCTTGCAAAGTCCTGTTAGTTGTATGAGAATAAGGTAGTCATGAGCAACCAGTTTTTTGTGGGATTGGAATTTTCAGTATCACCCCTGGGGAAACAAAATGGCTGGGAGTTGTTTCCTGGGGGGATTATAGTCAACTCCTGTTTCTAAGAGGAGAAATATTTCAACAAGAGAAGAGGAAGATGATATACATTAAGTTCCTCATTAAAACCATTTTATAATCATGCTATGACATTGCCATAGTTTCATAGAGAAAGTCACTGTAATGGACCTTAGAAACTGGAAGTTTCTTAGTTTATGACAAATTAGTTTCCTGTATTGTCCAAATTTGAGAAACAGTGATAAGTGTTTTCTAACAATACATAAAGAGAAGCTTCAGGGCCTTGAACTGTATTTATTTGCCAGATTTGTGAAAATACCACACTGAGTTGCAACCCTATTTTAGGTCCACAAGAGAAAAGTGCTACTGAGATCTAGTCACCATTTCCAGCCGAAAAAGAGTCACAATGCCAGTTAAGCTATGTCCTACTGCTGCAGAATTTTAAGGGTCATAATGGTAACCCTGAATCACAAATGGATGGAATGTTTTGATTTGCAGGAAGAAGATGGATAAAACAGATGTTCATTGGGGCATTCCTTATTCCCGCAATGGTGTGTGGCACAGCCTTCTTCATTAATTTCATTGCTATCTATTATCATGCATCAAGAGCTATTCCTTTTGGGACAATGGTGAGTATTTTAATTTGCACTGAACTCTTAAAAACTCAGATATCTGGATTTTAAACAGCAGGGACTGGCTTTCTTTTTAATAGAATTGTGTCAAGCAGCCACCTCCTCCTTTTTTACTTTACCAGCAGTACTTCTCTTTTTTCCAATTTGCTAGTGAAGGGGTAATCCTTACTTAGCACATCCTTATCTTTCTCTTTCCCTGCTACTTCTGGCCTGGAGCATTTCCATTCCATATTAATGCCAAAACCCTTTATGCCCATGACTGTCATCCCAATTTACCTTCTATAATGGAAGGTTTCTTTCCTTCTAATAGTAATAGCAATTCTTTGAGCTGGTACACTTTGTGTTTCTGTGAAGAGATCCCCCTTTCCATATTTTTCATAGGAACAAAGACCTTCACCAAGATATTTTCCTCCTTCCAAAATCAGTCTTAACCTTCCACTAGAATCAGTACATACTGCCTACACTTTTTCTCGTTCCATAGTTGTCTGTTGTGCTCTTATTTGGTACATAATAAATTCATTAAGATCATTTATCCCTTGTCTCCCAAGGCCCATGTAAAGACTGTGGCCATCCCCTTAAAGTTGCTCCAAGTTGATAGTGGCAACCATCAAGCTTTGCTATCAGTTGGTCAAATAGCCATGCCCCCTCCTCCTCTCAACTGCCACTCCACAAGAGCATCAGCAGCATTGGTAGCCTTCCTTTGGGGTATTTCCCTTTTGGAGGTTATGCCTAGCAGCTATGTGGATTTCAATCCTCCACCTTTATCCAGCATTATGGAATCTCTGCTTCCAAGTAGATGCAGTTTCTGCAAGGGTCTTCTTTTGTTTGGTCACTTTATGATGACCAGACTCTTTCAAGGAAGAAACTTGCTATTCACCCACTGTGTGAATCACCAAGATTCCTATTCACCTGCTAACAACTGATTGCTTAGGTGTAACTGCATTTCTTTGGTCATTTCTGAATTCACACAATCTGCTTTCTAGCCCTTCTAATTTAAAGTGAACATACTTCCTTTGTTCATCATATTCATTTTAGGAACTGAAGAGGTTCAGTAAGAGCTGTACCTAGTTATGTAGGGATGAGGCTTTCAACAAACAATTCTGTAACTTCAGAAAGTTCAGAATGGGGGTCTAGATAGGTGTGTAATGTATGAATTCATAGATGACCACTCAAGAAACTAAAGTTACAGGTAAGTAACCAGTTTATCCACTATATCTAATGTTGCTGACAAAAAAACAACCCTCTGATAAAGCAACTGGAGAGTTACACAAAGTGTGGGACAACTTTTCAGAAAGACAAACTTTAGATATCCCATGGTGTCATAATGGACTCCAAGATAGAGTTTGTATTGTGTTCACAAGGAGAAAAGCTGGCTGAGCAGCAACATACTTTCGCCCTTCTTTCCCAAATCCTCGTACTTTTCTACTTCCAAACAATAATTCTGAAATCAAAATGTACATAGCAGCAACTGATCCAAGGCATACAGTCCAGCTAACTGGAACACCAACTGTGTAAGAAATCTAACCAGGCATAACTATGTCTTGCCATCTGGCATGTTTGGAAAAGGCTCACGTGTAATAGTAAATCCTTGAATTATTGTCCAGAAATCTTTCCAGGAATTTCTTAAGATAGCCATAACAAATTCTGCCATGTCCACAATTCTTCCAGACACCAAAAAAAAATGGGAAGCCCTTCTTGAAATATATTACTTTCTTTACTGTCTTGAATAACAGAGACACTTATAAATGTAGACCTGAAGTGTATTAATTACTACGTGGCCAAGTTCCTGATAGATTATCTGCATTCAGTTGCAGTTTTCCTCAGGGAAAAAGACCATCCTAGCCTCTGTCAGTCTCACTGAGATTATCTGCACTTCCATATTATATTGCAGGTTCTGTATTTTAATTCCAGAGAAACAACAATTCCAATTCTGTACCTCCCTGTCTTGGTCTTTTGTTAGTTCTCTGGGACCTGAGATAATATATCAGTTAGCATATGCAGTAGATCACACAGTATGCAGTTACCAATAAGTCTTGCCAGAGAAAAGGCACATGGTCATCAGTGTTGCTTCAGTTGCTTTGATTGGAGAGAACTCTTGGAAATCTTCTAAAGGATTACTAAAGGAATTTATACCTCAAAAGGAATTGTGTTTAGTGGGTGGAGTCCTGTCATTGAAATTCTGTTCTCATCAGAGGTTAAAACTGCCTCTTAGAAAATTGATGATTTTAAAGGTGCTTGCTTTGTTTTTTATAAATTGAGTAAAGACATTTTCCTTACTCAAGAAAGCACGAGACAGTTGTTCCTATTATTTTGACAGTCACTGAATCTTATTGCTTGGGTGCTGACACTCAGGTTGTACATTCCTGACATGTAATAAGATTATGAATGTCAGTGGTAGTTTTCATTCTTATTATAATAATAAGTTCTAGTTAAGTTATCCAGCCAGGTTTTGCTGTTCTTGGTCTCTATGCTTTCCCCTGTATTGATTCTTTAGCCTATCTTTAAAATATATGGCATTGACTCTCTGCTAGATAATAAGATTTGGAGACTGGGAAAAAGGTCATAACTTTTCGTATCGCATTCTAAATATGCCTTAATTGCCTTTACATATTTTTACAAATGTATTTAGCTTTCTCTTGTGAATTAAATTTTACTATAGCCATTTTGAATAGTAGAAGCAGTGTGTTTTCTTATGATTAATTGTTGCTAAAATAATGGTTGACTTTATTTTAATGAATGTACAGTATTTTATATCTCTTCTTGTTTGAGTTTACAGGTAGCTGTTTGTTGCATCTGCTTTTTTGTTATTCTTCCTTTAAATCTTGTTGGAACAATACTTGGACGGAATCTTTCTGGTCAGCCCAACTTTCCTTGTCGAGTAAATGCTGTTCCTCGTCCAATCCCAGAGAAAAAATGGTAAAGTTTAAATTTGTCTGTATTCGTGTATCTGATAAAGTAGGTTACCCACTGCACTAGTTGGTCTTTCCTGCAGAAATTAAGGGGTCTTCCAGATAATTATCTGAGCACAGATGATGGCATGTAATAGGAGATGGGATGTATTATCTTTCAGAGCTACATCATATTTTTCATCAAGTAGTGATTGATCTCATGCATGAGTAGATTGCAGGTGATAAGTGCTCTCATCCATTTGCAAAACATAACTAATATTGGAACAATATAATATTCATATTGCAACATTTTTGTAATTAACCTTAGATGCTGACAGACCTGTGACTTTCACAGTCTGAATTTTATTGAAGTGTTCAGAGATCTTTTATATTTTATCCCTAATGCTCTTTAAAAATCAGTTGTGACTTGTTGATTTAAGTGAGTTCAGCAGGAATACTCTATTAAATGACTTCTTCCATTGATCTGGGTTAAATGAGAAAATCAGTTCTATTTTTTTTTCCAGGTTTATGGAACCAGCTGTTATTGTTTGCCTTGGTGGCATTCTCCCCTTTGGATCAATTTTCATTGAAATGTAAGGGTTTTTTTATACAGTTGTAGAAGCAACTTGCCAGTAGAATGCTTATCAGCCTAGCTAGAGGTATATGTTTGAATTATACTTACTTTCTCTTTAGGTATTTCATCTTCACCTCCTTCTGGGCTTACAAAATCTATTACGTCTATGGCTTCATGATGTTAGTTTTGGTCATCCTTTGCATTGTAACTGTTTGTGTAACAATCGTGTGTACATACTTTTTATTGAATGCAGAGGACTATAGGTGGTAAGTACAATGTGTTTATTCAGTTTTAACCAATAAAGAGCAAAACTGAACATTGGGTTTCTTTTAGGTTGTAAAAGGGACTGAACAAAACCACAAATAAGAGTTTTTATGTTATGAATTTGTAAAATATTTAAATTATCTTTACTTTTTTATGAAACTCAGAATGATTAATTAAATTTAAATTAATATCTGTTACAAGCTTTGTCATGGATCATTTTGTATAATTGGCCAAAGTATTATATAAAATAAAGTATTATATAAAATATATTTAACATATTTTAATTAATCAATTAAATTAACATATTTTAATTAATTAATTTTAATTAAATTAAAGCTACTAATAATAAAATTATTAAAATAAATTTTAATTAATCAACACATTTAAATTAATTAATTAATATTTATCTATTTTAATCAATATTTATTCTTTT